AAAGCTATAAACAGCCATTGAAAATCGGAACATGGAATGTACGAAGTATGAATCTGAGAAAATTGGAAGTTGTCAAAAATGAAATGGAACGTATCAACATCGGTATCTTAGGCATTAGTGAGCTGAAATGCAATGGTATTTGCCATTTTTAATCTGACAACCACATGGTTTACTATGCCGGGAATGACAAATTGAAGAGGAATGGTGTTGCATTCATCGTCAAAAAAAACATATCCAGATCAGTCATGAGGTACAATGCTGTGATAGGGTAATATCCATGTGCCTACAGGGAAATCCAGTTAATACCACTGTTATTCATATTTATGCACCAACCACTAAAGCCAGTGAGGATGGAATAGAAGAATTCTACCAACTTCTTCAATCTGAAATCGATCAAACATGCAATCAAGATGTATTGCTCATTACTGGTGATTGGAACGCAAAGGTTGGGAGCAAAGAGTAAGGACCAGTAGTTGGAAAATATGGCCTTGGTGATAGAAATGATGCTGGAGAACGAATGATAGATTTCTGCAACACCAATGGTTTATTTCAAATACCTTCTTTAGACAGCATAAGAGACGACTATGCACATGGACCTCACCAGATGGAACACATAGACATCAAATTGACTACATCTGTGGAAAAAGATGGAAAAGCTCCATATCATCAGTTAAAACAAGGCCAGGAGCAGACTGTGGAACAGACCATCAATTACTGATATGCAAATTCAAACTGAAGCTGAAGAAAATGAAAACAAGTCCACGAGAGCCAAAATATGACCTTGAATTTATCCCACCTGAATTTAGCATCTGAAGAACAGATTTGATACATTAAACACTAAAGACCGAAGACCAGAAGAGTTGTGGGATGAATCAAGAACATCATACGTGAAGAGAGCAGAAAGTCATTAAGAAAAGAAAGAAGGAAAAGGTCAAAATGGATGTCAGAAGAGACTCTGAAACTTGCTCTCCAGCTTAGAGATGCTAAAGCAAATGGAAGAATTGAGGAGGTCCAAGAGCTGAACAGAAAACCTCAAAGATCAGCTCGAGAAGATAAAGCCAAATACTATAATAAAATATGCAAAGATTTGGAGTCAGAAAACCAAAAAGGAAGAACACGGTCGGCATTTCATTATTGAAAGATTCTCTGGGCAAATTATTGAATGATGTAGAATGCATCAAGAGAAGATGGAAGGAATACACAGAATCATTGTACCAAAAGGAAATGGTTAATGTTCAACCATTACAAGAGGTACCATATGATCAAGAGCCAATGATACTCAGGGAAGAAGTCCAAAGTGCATTGAAGGAATTGGCAAAGAACAAGGCACCAAGAATTGAAGGAATAAAAATTGAAATCTTTCAAGAAAGTGAGGCGGCACAGGAGGCACTCACTCATCTCTGCCAAGAAGTTTTGAAGATAACTATCTGGCTTGGAAGAGATCCATTATTTGTGCCCATTTCAAAGAGAGATGACCCAACAGAATGCGGAAATCATCGGACAATCTCTTTGATATCTCAAGCGAGTAAAGTTTTGCTAAAGGTAATACAGAAATGGCTACAATCATACATTAACAGAGAATTTCCAGAGGTTCAAGCTGGATTCAGAAGAGGCCGTGGAACGAGATATCATTGCTGATGTCCAATGAATCTTGGCTGAAAGCAGAGAATACCAGAAATATATTTACCTATGCTTTATTGACTACGCAAAGGCTTTCGAATGTGTGAATCATGACAAGCTATGGACATTGCGAAGTACGATTATTCCAGAACACTTAATTGTACTTCTGAGGAATCTGTACCTGGACCAAGCAGTTGTTCAAACAGAGCATGGGAACACTGAGTGTTTTAAAATTGGGAAAGGTGTGTGACAAGGTTCTGTTCTTTCACCATACTTATTCATCCTGTGTGCTGAGCAAACACAAGAAGCTGGGTTCTATGAAGAAAAACGTGGCATCAGGATTGGAGGAAGATTCATTAACAACCTGCAACACGCAGATGATACAACCTTGCTTGCTAAAAGTGAAGAGGACTTAAAACATTTACTGATGAAGCTCAAAGAGCACAGCCTTCCGTATGGATTACATCTCAATGTCAAGAAAACAAAAATCCTCACCACTAGACCAATAAACAACATTCTTTATCAACGGAGAAAAGATTGAAGTTGTCAAGGACTACATTCTTCTTGGATCAACTATCAACACTCACAAAAGCAGCAGTCGAGATCAGACGACGTATTGCATTAGGCAAATCTGCTGCACAGCTGCTTTTTAAAGTGTTGAAGAGCAAAGATGTCAGCTTGAGGACTAAGGTGTGCTGACCCAAGCCATGTTATTTTCAATAACCTCATATGGATGTGAAAGCTGGACAGTGAATAAGGATGATCGTAGAATTGATGCCTTTGAATTGTGGTGTTGCAGGAGAATACTGAAAGTGCCATGGGCTAGCAAAAGAACCAACAGATCCATTTTGGAAGAAGTGCAGCCAGAGTGCTCCTTGGAAGCCAAGGTGGCTAAACTTCGTCTCTCATACTTTGGACATATTATCAGGAGGGAACAGTTGCTGGAGAAGGATATCATGCTTGGTAAGATGAAGGGCTGGAGAAAAAGAGGAAGACCCCCAACAAGATAGATTGGCAAGGTGTCAGCATTGATGGACTCAAGTGTGGCAGCGGTAGTGAGGTTGGCCCAGGATTGAACATTGTTTCGTTCTGCTGTACACAGGGTCGCTGAGTCGGTTCTGACTCGATGGCACAACAGTTTTATAAAAGTTGCACAGTGGTTATGAATCGGGCTAACCTTAAGGTAAGCAATTCAAAACTACCAAGCACCCCATGGGAGAAAAATGAGGCTTTCTGCTCCCATAAAGATTTACAGCCTCGAAACCAACTCCACAGCACATCACCACTACCACGGTACATGACTGTGGTCATACACTCCCGTTTTTTTGTATAAACATCACGCCTCTCCTTCGGAATGTTAAAAGTGATCTTGCACTTCAATGTGCTCAAGCTGTCCCCACAGACTAATAAAACCCTTTACTCTCACTTTTAAAAGTTTAAGTTCTGGTGTGGCACCACAGGATAAGCACTCAACCTCAAGGTCAATCTGAACTGCAAAGACAGTGGTTCGAACTCACCAGCCACTCCTCAGAAACCCTATACAGGATCATTATGAGTCAAAACCAGCTCTACAGCACTGAAGTTCTGTTCAGCAATATGACAAGACTCACTACCACCTATCAGTCCAACCTCGACGAAAGGCAGATTAAGTTTAATCAATGATCCACTCAGTCATGCCCTCATAACAAAATTCCGATTCTGTGACTGACAGTATTCTTTGTACACTGATGTCCCAAGATGTTGATGCATCCTGGTTTGATTCCATAGGGAGAGGACACGGAAGCTTTGCATTTAGGGCCTCTTTTTGTTATAATAAATCTAAAATAAGCACAGTGCTTTCCTGAGCTGTGTGAGTCATTCTAGCAAATCATCAAACCTGAGGGGGCAGTGCAAACCCCTGAGTTTGAGGCAGCTATCAGATGCAAGGATGTCCAGGGAACCTTTGAGCTTGTGGCTGGTGTCTGAGTAGTCTTGTGAAGGGTTCCACCTTTAAACTGTGAACTTATTCTAATTCTGAGTTAATTGAGGTCAGATGCCGTTTTGCAACTGTAATGGTTGTAATAATCTGACAGCATTTAGAGAAATGTTATGAGTTTTTAAGGTAAAGTGAAGCCACATATTTGTGCATTAAAAAAAAAAAAATTTTTTTTTTAAAGGTTAATTTTTAAAGATTCCATTTAGAATCACTGTTTCCTGCTTTAACTGAAATAAATTTGGCCCCTGCACAAAAACACACTCAATCTCTCCTTCTGAAAAACTAGTCTGTTTAATAGTGCACTTCATTTATACTACAGGGTGAGTAGAATTGGAGAAACACAATGAAAGATCATCCCTTCGGTCAGGAAAACTTAAGGAGCTCCACTCTACCCACAAAGAGCCCTGCTACCAGATTCGGGAAAGAGCCTTGCTTCTCTGTGACTTTACTCTTTATTGGTATTAATCCTCGGATGTTGAAGAATCAGAGGTGGAATCAGGAGAGGGCCGGAGCCAGATGTGCTAGGTGACAAAACGCAGGGCTACTTAAATGCCTTAAAAGTATCCTTAGAAAACAAGAGCCCAGAATGAAATCGTTTGTATCACAGTTATGGTGAGAAAAAAAAGAGAAAAGAGGAAAGGAAGTAGATGCCAATGCTAAATGCTTCTGATATTAACTTCAGGTGAGACTGATTAGTTGGATTTCCTAGTTGTATTACAACAGGAAGGACAAAGTGTCCTTTTATAATACTGCTAAGACTGTTGTTAGTAACTTGGTGGAGCTGCTCCAAGAGCCCTAAAGGATACAGACATCACTAAAAAAAACCTTTCTTGGGGTAGTTTTCCTCCCTTGATAAAAAACATAGCACCAAATTTTCATAATTAATACAATTATGAAACAAACAGCACATTCTTTATACAAGCTTAAAGCTCGATAAGGAAGTGGCTTTGAAATCCAGATCCCATTTTCCCTTAAACACAGCAGATCCCAGGACTCAGGACATTTTCCCACTGCTTTCTGTGCTGTAACTCCAATGAAAGAAATCCTTGTAACTTCTGACTATTGTGCTTCCATGTTCACCTTGGAAAGAAAGGGTCCTCTGGTGTAGGAAACATGGTTTAGTGCAAACTCCATCCCCGAGCGAGTTATTAGCCCCAGAGCTTCCCTCCATTTCCAGTACTTTCTCTGCTGCTTGTCTCATAACGTTTTATGATGCTGGTATCATTATGGGGAAATTCACTCAGTTACTGATCATTGCTGGGTAATTTCCCCCAATTTGCCAGTTGCTAAAGTGAAAGGTTTAAGTTGGAAAGGACATATACCTAAGCTGTCTGTACTTATAGAGTAAATAAGTAATCTCTTCAGATTTCAGGAGCTATGAAGGAAACAGGTGTGTGGCTGTCTCTCATGTAGACTCCCTGGTGTTTAATTCGGCAGTAACTCTGAGAGAACTTCTGCTCATACCCATTACATTCAAAGGCTTCTCTCCAGTGTGAATTCTCTGGTGGCGAACAAGAGCTGAACTATACCTGAAGGCTTTCCCACATTCATTACATTCATAGGGATTCTCCCCTGTATGAATTCTTTGATGCTGAATAAGGCCTGAACTATAGGTAAACTTCCCTCCACATTCCATACATTCATAGGGCTTCTCTCCAGTGTGGATTCTCTGGTGCTGATAAAGGTGTGAGCTCTGGCTGAAAGCCTTCCCACACTCGTTACATTCATAGGGCTTCTCTCCAGTGTGAATTCTCTGATGATGAATAAGGGTGGAGCTCCTACTGAAGGCTTTTCCACATTCATTACAAGCATAGGGTTTCTCTCCAGTGTGGATTCGCTGATGATGAGTGAGTGTGGAGCTCCAGCTAAAGGTCTTTCCACACTCATGACATTCATAAGGTTTCTCCCCAGTGTGGATCCGACGATGGAGAATAAGAGCAGAGCTACAACTAAAGGTCTTCCCACAATCACTACATTCATAAGGTTTTTCACCAGTGTGAATTCGCTGATGCTGAATCAGGTGTGAACTCTGGCTGAAGGCCTTCCCACACTCATTACATTCATAGGGCTTTTCCCCAGTGTGGATTCTCTGATGTTGAATAAGGTCTGAAGTTCGATTGAAGCTCTTGCTACATTCATCACATTTATGGGGTCTGTCTCCCATAGGAAGTCTCTGATGTGAAATAAGGTTAGAACTCACAGTGAAGCGATTCCCAAAATCATTATATTTCTCACATCTCTCTCCCATAGGGGTTAGCTTCTCCTCAGGTGTCACTCGATCAAAATCTTGTATCTTCCTAGCCAATCTCTCTCCAGAGGCATTCTCTAGCTGCCGCTTTAGACTGACTTCCTGTTCATAGGCTTCTTTGAATTTAAGATCCTGAGAAATATCCTTTTGGAATCTTCCCAACAGTACCCCATGTGATCCTGTATCTTCAGAAATTTCTTGATCGTTCTCACTTCTGTTCTCTCCATCTGGCACAATAAAAAAATGCTAACGTCACTTATTCATTGTAGAAGACAGAATAAAAACCAGAGGACAAGATAATCATGTGACTAATGCTAAAAGTACAAGCCTGAAAAAAGGCCTGCCCAGTATGTGTGTAGCTAAGGCAAAATAAGATAATTGGGCTGATAACTGGGGAAAGAGAGAGAAGAGGAAGCCAAGTCAAGGCCAGAAGAGCTAGAGAATATACAGAAAGCTGGCTGTGTAAGCAGGAGAGGATGGGGCCAGCACAGAGGCAGGGAAGGATGTAAGTGCTAAGTGGGAGCAAACTCAGAGAGTACTGACAGAATTTGGGGGATACACTAACTGTAAGAACAGTTTTTAAATGATATGGAAGAGCAAAAACAAAAAACTAAGCATGGATGGTTGATGAGAAAAGTAGGGAGAGGTGACGTAAAATAGCAACGAGCACAGAAGCTCAAGAAGGGTGAGAACTCTAGTGATCTCTGGTGCAGGGGAAAAGAACCAGCACGTCTGTACTCGTGTCACATAGGCCAAATCCACAGAAATCGGCAAATGACAAGAGCTTAGTCCATCTCTGGGTTCTGAGTCCTAGAAGACTTTGATCAATTGATGAGAACAGCAATCTCTGCTTTGTTTTCTCTATTTTTTCAACCTTGGGTTTCTAAAGAGAATTTTAGGCACAGAGGATAAGTATAAAAATTCTAGATAGTTAGCATTTTTTAGTTTGTCTTTTAAATTTTTTTAGTATTTAAAAAAAGGCAGGGCAGTAAGTGTTAGGGACAGAAATAGCTGTTTCTCCCTCACCTGAACAGGTACCTCTCGGGACCTCTCAGTTCCCTTCAAACCCAGGACCTTTGGCTTGTCCTCTCACTGCAGCTGAGAGAGCATGTCAAGATTCAGAAATAGGAATCCTGCTCATGAGGAAAGACACAGGACAGGAGTTTTACATTGCTCATACTGAGCAGTCCCCGAGTTCTAGCTCAGATCCAGGATCTGCAGGGAACAGAAAGGGAATATATGGGGAAATCTCAAATGGGAGTTAGGAAGACCCTCTGGTGCTACTCAAGACAATAACAGTAGCTGCACTGGTCTGAGACAAAGCAACAAGTCCCCAGAGAAGTAAGAGGGTAAAGTATTCTAGAATGTTCACCTGGGCACACAGCAGTAACTTGCCTGTTGAGGGATCTCAATTATGCTAAACTTTTGGAAAAGTCTCAGGTTTACATTTCAGTCCTGAGAAAACACTTATGGGAAAAGTACCAGATTTGGAGTTTTAAAATCAAAGTTCAAGTTATTACGACCACGCCTGAATATTTAAGACCTCTGACTTGATGCTCCTCATCTATAAAACTAAGAAAATACTAGCTAATTCAACTGCTGTTGCTGTGAGAAATAAATGACAAAATACATACAAGGGTAAGTCAAAAAGTATTGCTACCAGGATTTCAGTTCATACATGCATGGGTTTATTACAAATAAAAAGTGTTTTAAGAAAAAAAGAAGCATTTAAGCACGTCTCTGCGATCCATGGATAGTTGTAAACAAGTTTTCTCAGTAAGTAATACACTGGTCTTAGTCTTATGTGGCGCTGTGGGTTAATGCGCCAGACTGCAAAGCCATTTTAATTACAAAGTCGGCAATTCAAGTTCACCAGCAGCTTCTCAGAAACCCTATACTGGGTCACTATGGGTCAGAAACGACTCGACAGCACTTAACAACAACAGTCTTAAGTGCCATATAGTCGGTTCTAACTCATAAGACACCCTGTATAGGGCTTGCAAGGAGTGGCTGGTGGATTTGAACTGCCAACCTTTCCATCAGCAGTCCAGTGCTCACTCTACAGAACCACACTAGGACTCGTTGTTGCTGTCAAGTGTCATCGAGTCAGTTCTGACACATAGCAACCCTGTCTAGAGTAGCTGGTGATTTTCAGTTCTTACCCTATAGCGCCATAACAGAACTTATTAGGAAGTCTTTTTTAAAAAGATCCAAGCCAAACAATGGCTGGGTCAGTTCAATTCCACGGCAGAGAAGTCAGCCTTTTTGGGGGGTTATGGCCAAGGGGGTAATCTTGATAGATTTTTCACAAAGGACACAGATAATCATGGGGACTTAATATGAAAAAGGTTTAAGAAAACGAAAAACTGCTTTGGCAAAAAAAGGAAAAAGAGACAGGAACATTACATAGAGGAAGTTTCTCTCCATCACAGTGCACCTGCTCATTCAAAGGCAGCACGTCTGTCAATCAAGAATTTCCCTGGGAAACTTAACCTCAACCTCCCTATATGATCTGGCTCCTTCAAATTTCTTTTGATTCCTCAAATTCAACATTTAAAAGGAACATGATTTGAGTCTTTCATGGATGCCAAAACTACTGTAGGGAGGTAAAGAGTTCCAGAAGTCAAAACTACTGTTTTGACATGGTATAAATTAAGAATGCAGAATTCTTTGGAGAAGGGTTGTTGTAATATTAAGCGTCACCAAGTCAATTCTGAACCACAGAAACCCTGTCTAGGGTATCCGAGGAGCAACTGGTGGGTTTGAACTGCCAACCCTGCAGTTCAAACTGACTTTGCAGTCTCATGCTTATCCTGAAAATACCACCTTCACATTTTGATATGTTTTGGTTAATAAAGGCTTCTATGGATTTGTAACAATACTTTTTGACTTACCCTTGTATGAAAACTTTTTAAACTGCAAATGATCCTACAAATGTGAATCCTATTATACATTCTACTATTATTATTAATATTTTCTTAGACTAAGTCAATCTTAGTTTATTATTTTCAGTGACAAGATTATTACTAATAAGTAAAATAAAGAAACAGAAAGAAACACCAAGGGAATTCTGTTGAGAAAACTCAACTCCTTACCCAGTGAGAACACGTTCCCGTAATTCTCCAGCATCACGTCCCTATAGAGGTCTCTCTGAGCAGGTTCCAAACGTTTCCACTCTTTTCGGATAAAGTACACAGCTACATCCTCATATGTCACCAACTCCTGAAACAACAAGTTCTGGCATGCAATTTCAGGGTGAGGGATGGAACTGACAACATACAAAAATAGCGTGGGATGGGAATGAATGATGGATTATTTGAAAAGTAGGGGAAAGGAGGTGAGAGTGGAAAAAGACAAGAGTCTAAGACACTAAAAAGCTCCACTACCCTGCAGGCGAGGACCGCCATCCTGACAGAAGAGCTCGTGGTTTACACAACTGAACGGGATGCTGCTGTGCAAAAGGGAAGGGAAGGAAGAAGAAAGGGAGCCAAAACTCACCTGGGCCTTGGCCTTTAGGCGTGCAGCTGTCAACATCTCATTCCCTAAGCTGTCCTTGTCAGAAAAGGCATGAACTTTTGAAGAAGGAAGAGCTGATGGATAACAAAAGGGCCCATGAGTGAGTCTGTTTTCTGGCCTCCTAATCAGATTCACAGACAATTCAAGGAGTCCTAGAACAAGCGAGGACCCACTTCCTCTTACAATTCAAATTCGCTTTGTCTGTAGCTATGAAAGGTGATTGCAACAGAGGCCCATCCTGCCCTGGTAGAGACATCCAAAGCCCTCTTCATTCTGGGCCTTCCTTTCTCTCCAGTCACTCTGCTCTCAGTACATTTTGCCAAGTGCTGTCTCCGTGTCTACCGCACTTGGGAAGATCTGTGCTTGTGCACCGCTGCCCACTCTCCCATGCTTGGGTAGGAAGAGGCTACCTATGCAGTGTTGTTAGTCCCTCCGGTAATTCTCCCACATCTCTGAAGTCAAACTCTCAAATGAGAGGAAAACTAGTAGCTTCTTTCTCCATCTCCAGATCCCATCTATAAAGCAGGGCTGCTCCCTGCTCCTGAGCGAAATCACCCATCTTCTCTGTAATTCTTACACGTTTGTCCCTCAGCAGGGTGTTCTGTCTTAGACTCTAAACCCCTAGACATAACAGATTCTGTACAACCACAGACAAAACTGTTTTTCCAGTTAAACATGGAAACAATATCCATTAAGACCAAAAATGACTCGTCCGTGGTAGTTTCTGAAAGCAAAATACAACTGCTTTTGTGGCTTGTATCCATTTGATCCTTTTGCCAGGGATTCCCAATGGCCTCCTCTAATATGCTCCTTAAAAGCACAAGCCGTGTCTATCTACACAGTTTGTAGTTAGAGGATGCCTGAGAAATGGAATTCGGGGATTGCCAGTTTCCTCAATACTGCCTGTTATAAAACCCCTCAAGCTGAAGATTAATTACTGGTTTCTGTCAGCATCCCCCATAGGCCGAGAACTCCTGTCTTACTCATCTTTGTATTCTAGTGCTAAACTGAGTATTCCTACCATTTGTATGTCAGTTTACCTGTATCTTTGAGGATTAAGGTGCACCTTACCCAGGCCATGGTATTTTCAATCACCTCATATGCATGTAAAAGTTGGATAATGAATAAGGAAGACCAAAGAAGAACTGATGCATTCAAATTATATACTGTTGGCAAGGAATATCAAATTATCATAAACTGTCAGAAAAACTAATCTGTCTTTGGAGAAATGCAGACACAACACTCCTTGAACATTAGGATCACACGTATGTTGGACATGTGATCAGGAGGGGCCAGTCCCTGGAAACGTCATACTTGGTAAAGTAGAGGGTCTGTGAAAAAGAGGAAAATCTTCCAGGAGATGAAGTGAAACAACAATGAGCTCATGCAACAATTGTGAGGATGATGCCTGACTGGGCGGGTTCGGGTTCTATGGGACGTGGGGTTGCTAGGAGTCAGAACGGAGCCCATGGCACCTAACAATAACAAACCTAGTATTTGTTGAACAAGAGAACTGGATAAATGACTGGATGAAAGAATGGCAAGTCCCTATTCCTCACCCCTCTCGCACAGCGCCTGAGGTTCCTGAGATACATGACCAGTCTGGGTTTCCATGGGCAAGAGTTCCAGCGCTCTGGTCTCCTGTCTGCAGTCAGCAGGAAGCAGGATTCGAGTGAGAATGAAGAAGCACTGCAGAGGCAAAAGTCCAAAGTTCAAAGATATTACAGCAGAAAAACAAAAGGAAAACTCCTGAATGCATAAAGAGGGGAATTAAACACAAGTGCCCACCATTGGAAATAAGGCAAAATCCTGGTGAATGTATTACCTATCCCCCAAAATGAGGCTACCATAAGAACCATAAAAACTCCCAAGTTCCTCAACAGCCCTACTGCAGACCCCCCACCCCACCCTTCAAGTGCTGTTTACAACAACAAACAATGAGGCTCGTCAGAGGCCCATAGTGACCTTAACAGACTAAACAGCTGGAAGTGAAAGTAGTTCACACAATGTCAAGTGAAAAGGATAAGCTCTAAGAGAGTGTGTCCACAGACTGTAAAATGTGTGTTATGACAGCAACTTTTAAAAATATTTGGAATAGACAAAGCTAACCACTTATAGCAAAGGGGGAGACACACACACCTCACACACCTGTTGTTTACCTTCAAGTCGGTTTTGACTCATAATGACCCTGTATAGGGTTTCCACGGAGTGGCTGCTGGGTCTGAACCATGGACCTTGTGGTCAGGAGTCCTGTGCTTATCCTACGGCACCACACCAGGACTCCACATTAGAATTAGTGGTGGTGGGGGTTCTGTGCCATGGAGTCGGTTCTGATTCATAGCAACCCTGCATAAGGTTTCCTGAGGTTGTAAATCTTTACGAAAGCAGAAAGCCTCATCTTTCTGCCGCGGAACTGCTGGTAATTTCGAACTGCTGACCTTGAGGTTAGCAGTCCAATTTGGAAAGAAAAACTTCATTTGGCTTTTAGCTGTATAGGTGTTGTCCTTACACATTAAGAAAACTAAAATCCTTACAATTAGGCCAATAAACGTAAAGCATGGTAAGGGAAAAAACTGACTTTATCCAAAAGTTCATTTTTCTAGGAACAACAGTCAGTGTCCCTGGAAGCAGCAGACAAGAAATCAAATAGCGTATTGCACTGGGCAGATCTACTGCAAAAGACCTCTGGTGAAGTGTTAAAAAGCAATGACGTCACTTTGAAGAGTAAGGTGTACTTCACCCCATTCATGGAAGCTTCAATAGTCTGCATAGGAAACTGAACAATGAAAAAGCCTGAAGACCTGAGACATTCAAATTGTGGTCTTGTTAAAGACCTGTTATCAGAACAACAACCAAATCTGACTTGGAAGGAGTACAGTCAGAATGTTCCTTAGAAGTGAGGAGGGCGAGACTTTGTTTCGTTTACTTTTGCCAATTGCTGGAGAAAGACATCATATTTGGTAAGCAGAGGGTCAGCATTAAAAAAAAAGGCCCTTAGTGAAATGTGCTGACAAAATGGCTACAATCCAATGGACTCATGGGTAGCCCAGAACCAGGCATTTTTGTTTTGTTGTTATACGTAAGGTTGCAGAGCTGGAGACAACTTGAAAGCACCTAATAACATGGTGTTATCCTGAGGCAAACAGATCAGAGCAATTTCTCACTTTAATCACCCTGAGGAAACATCTGTGTCACAAAGGTAGGGGCCATCTTGTAAAATAAATTCCTCCCATTACCTTTCTTTCTAAGGAGCCCTGGTAACATAGTGGGTAACGAGCTGAGTTACTAACTACAAGGTCAGTAGTTGAAATCTACCAGCTGCTTCATGAGAGAAAGATGAGGCTTTCTGCTCCTATAAAGACTTACAGCTTCAGAAACCCTCTGCAGAGTCACTGTGAGTTGGAACAGACTCTGTGGCACACACCACCCAACCCTTTCTTTCTAAGACAATTTTCTGCTATGTTTCAGCCAAAGGTAGGGTATTATTGAGGAGCTAGGGTCTCTGTGTGGTCCCTGGGGCAGTCTCATTAGACTGGGCAGGTATATATAGCCACCAGGATCTAAAAGACTAGGCTTAGCATCCCTTTTTTTTTTTTATTTAAATCTTCCTTCTCTCATGAAATATTTCCTTGCATCAGAATATATGAAGTAGGGACCAATATTTTTTAAAAAACAGAAAATTACTTGCTATTGTTTTATTCCTATTAATTTCTCCCATTTCCTACAGTAATTAACAGAGGTCTGCTCTCTGTGCCTCTAATGAATAAAAGAACATTAATACCTAGGATAAGGTTTGGAACTCAAGTAAGTTTCCCCTTCACATTTGAATGCTATCGAAATAATCAATTCTCTAGAATAGGCCTAGCATCCACCAATCTACCAGTGTCCTTATATGTCGGTACGATCACGGGGACGGTGGGGGCACAGAACGCCGGATTTGGTCTCTATCTCATGTATTTATTCAGTTGGTCGTATTACAAACATTAGCTAAATGCTAACTACATTCCAAGACACTACTGCAAGGAACAAAAAAAATAAAAACGAGAAATGGAAAAAGTATTTGTTTCATCACAACAGACTATTGTATTCTCCAGATACATAAAAGGAGAAGGGGTGCTGCTTGAATTCACCTGTGGGAGTTCAGAAAACTCTAGTCTTTAGATAGCAAGAGGGTCTAAAGCCCAAGACCACCAACCTTGAAGAGGTGGAAGGCACTTACTCAGGCCACGCCAGGTCCACTGATGAACAGAGTGACAAATCCCTCTTCAGCTGGTCCCTTCAACTCTGGCCCACCATGTTTTCCCTGTTAACCACCCCTATAATTTCTAAGACTACTAATTAGCAGACACCCCCAACAGGCCAGCTCTCACCCAAACTTTCCTTACACTGAAGTCTGAGACTCCTACTCCAGAGAAAAAGGGAGCACTCCCTCCTCACAGCTGGGCTAACCAAAGCTGGGACTCAAAGGCATATTGTGGAGAACAAGTCCCCAGTGTCTGCATCCGTGGCTTAGGGTTCTCACAGGAAAGACAATCAGCAGGGTCTCCCCATAGCTTCAGGTCCAGGCAGGGCTCTTCTCTGGCTCTGCAGCCAACCTTCCTCCCCAGAACTGCTCCTGGAGACAGAGAAGACGACCAGGGAGCAAGAGCAAGCACGGAGAGTGTTACCTGCTGGGGTCTCTCCTTCTCAGGGCTCAGTCCTCCAGGCCAAAGTAGCAACTATGGAGCATTTGGCAGCTTCTGTTCAAATTCCTGGTAATTCTGACCTTTGGTGAGGTCAACACTGTGGGATCCCTTTTTGAAAGAAAACATTGAAAGTATTCATGTAAACTGCATTTCTAACCTAGATATTTAAAGACAAATAAAAGTAAATTAGCATATGGTAAAAAATACTAACTCACAATCAACATTTGCACTGCACCTGTGGAGAGCTGTTGTTGTTAAGTGCCATCAAGTCATCAAGTCGGTTCCTACTCAGAGTGGCCCTGTATTGGGTTTGCAAGGGGCAGCTGGTGGGTTTGAACTGCTGGCCTTGTGGTTCACAGTCCAGTGCTGATCCAGAGCGCCACACCAGGTGTCCAGATCAACTTTCCAGCCTGTGTTCAGAGACTCAGCCAGCTAACTTGCTACTCCGCTACTTCAGCAGGCCCTCTGGTTCACTGTTGCTTACTTTAACCATTAGAGCCGCCTTCAGACACTAAACTGAAATCCTATCCCCTTGAACCTTCAATGATAAAATCTCCTCTTTTTTACAAGACTGTTCATCATACTATTAAGATGAGCTTGAAGCCACAATGATATTCACTCTCCAAATAGTCTCTTCGTGTAGGAGATAGATACCTTTAGTGTCATGGATTTCAGGTTCCTCATCCTGCTCATCCTTCTGGGGCGTTTGCAAATGCCCCTTAAAGCATAAACCCGGGCTGTGTTCACTCACACTTTGGTAGCAAATCAAATGGAGATCTAATAGAATGGAATACGGGAGTCAGAGTCGTATCCCTCCCCCTATAAAGCTTATTTGGAATCCTGGTGTGGCGCTGCAGGATAGTGCACTGGACCGCAAGTTCGGCAGTTCAAACTCACCAGCCACTCCTGTCATCGGACACCCTATACAGGGGTCGCTATGGGTCGGAACCGACTCCACAGCACTTAATTACGACACAACACAAGGCTTATTGGACTCCTGGTGTGGTGCTGTATTGCACTGCGAACCACATGATCGGAGGTTCAAACCCGCCAGCTGCTCCTCGGAAACCCTGAACAGGAGAGCAAAGAGTCGGAACCGACTCGAGGTTACTTAACAGCAACAGCATAAGGCGTACTGACTCCTGATTTATTGGTCTCCTGCAGAACTACTTTTTGGAAAGTGAGTTTGCACCTCCGCCGGGACCCAGATTTAACTCCGCACACTCGTTCTCTGATCCTTGGGTACAAATAACAATGGATCTCCGCTCCGGCCGGGGAACGAATAGTGTTAGCATCAAATACAAGCGCTTTGGAGAACTACTACGTTAGGTCGCTGTCATCAGCTGGTTTGAAAACGAATGACGCCTCTTCCGAAACTTTTCAATGCTCGAGATGTGCTCTTGAACAGAAAATCAGAACCAGAGCCCCAACCCGCCCTCCGCGCGCAGGCCCCCGCTCCGGGTAGGGAGGCCCCGCTCCCGGTAGTGAGGTCCCTGGGGAAGAGGACTTCCTCACACTTGGGAGTCCGGCTGCAGGACACGCTACTCCGGGAAGCCTGGGGCCCCAGGACCACAGCGGCAGAGACAACCCTTTCCCCCGGCTACCACAGCTTTCAGTCTCACCGCGAGCCCCGCGAGCGGCCGGACTCACCCTGGGGGCAGGGACGGGAGACTTGAGGGGCCGGAAAGGGGCCAGGCCCTGCCGGACCCTGTCACAAACACACACACCCGGGGCAGAACAAAGAACGGAAACTCTCTCTTTCCCCTTCCGGGTCGTCCTTTTCATCGCCCACCCACTTCCGTTCCTCCACACCCACTTGTGTTCTCTAGGAAACTAGGAGGTGTTACCTATCGATGGTTTGCTGCCTCCGACTAAAGGCGAGGACTGGGGACCCGCCTTTCGCCCTGCCCACCGGCCGAGCCCGCGGAGGCTACTTGTCGCTTCTGGAGCAGTGAGGACTTGGAGCTGAGACTTCTACAGCCTCTTCTCGCAGAACTCATGCACCGTGGCTACTCCGAGGATCTAAATATACCCGCAGCAAAAAAGACTTTTTTTTTTTTTTTGGAAATTTTTATTGTGATTATTTGGTGGTGGTTATGTGCCCTGGAGTCGGAACCGACTCATAACGACCGAAGCTGTAAATCTGTACCGGAGCAGAAAGCCTCATCTGCTCTACCGCCGAGCAGCTGGTAGTTTCGAACTGCTGACCTTAAGGTTCTCAGCCCGATTCTTAACCACTACGCTACCAGAGCTCCTTCTACAGCTAAATAGTCTGTGAATATTTACAGACTGGATATTTACAAAGCAAAGCATAAGTTTTACATCCAACAAATCACACACTTTGTTTCATCACAAAGATTGCATTCCCCTCCATGTAACAACCGTTATCCCACTTCCTCCCTGTGGTTCCGAGTTCCCAGCACCTCTGCCCCTTGTCTCCAGGTATATGTGGCCCTTTTGATCTTGAATTGTTGAGCATTGCAAGGTGAACATACCTCGCTAGTGATATTGTCCCCGCATACACCTATCCACTGCTTAGTTGAAAATTTGGCCACTAAGGTGAGTTCCATTCCAGATATGAAGGGTGGCACAGGGCCATAGTCTCCGCTTCCTCCAGTCTGTTTCTGACCAGTAAACCTAGTCTTTTTTGTAAGTTTGTGTTTGGCTCCACGTTGTCAACTACTCTGTCTGGGAAGTGATATTTTTAATGATCTCATAGACAAATTTATAGTACACACACTCAGCTCTCGGAATGCAATTCTCCCTTTCCGGTGACTTCATTCTAAGGACAGTAATTTAAATAATATCAGTTAAAAAAAAATGTTATGTACTAGGAAAAGGTGATCAAGTACAGAGCCCTATAGAAATGGGAGATTTCCCATGAGGAGGAGACTTGTTCAAGGCAAGAGAAAACAATGCACAAGTAACTAATAAAACTTGAGGGCAACCAGAGAGGTGTAGGGGCCAGTCCTTATAGAAGCCAAATGAGAACTTAAGCAACTACTCAAGTAGCTAAACCACCAAGAAACACAATTACCCTTAGAGCTTGACTTAGTTTCTTCTTCCCTCTTCTCAGCTTCTTCTCTTCCATTCATTCCTCTAGGACAAACAAGATGGAAGGTAGGAAGGAGAGTGAGGATCTTTAAGCAGGAATGTTTGTTAAGTAAACACTCAAATGACATTCCTCAGGGAACAGAGCTTTCAGCTACATCAATACAACAAATTCTATTGTTGTTGTGAAGTGCCTTCAAGTTGGTTCTGACTCATAGTGACCCTGAATAGGATTTCCAAGGAGTGGCTTGGTGCGTTTGCACCACCGACCTTATGGTTCAGACTGAACTTGGGGTCCAGTGCTTTACTCCATAGTGCCACACCAGGACTCATTTATTATCTGGGGCTAAGTCAATGTGTAGTTTATCATCAGTATCTCTACCACTGGTCTGTCAGTTTGTCATATGTGGTGGCTTACGTGTTGCTGTTGAACCAGGGAGCTATACCACTGGTACTTTACATACCAGCAGGAACACCCATGGTGGACAGGTTGCAGTGGAGCTTCCAGATTAAGATAGACTAGAAAGGAGAGGTGAATTACTTCTGAATGTTTAGCCACTGAAAACCTTATGAATAGCAGTGAAACACTGTCAGATAGCACAAGAATATTGAATATTGAAGCATGATGAATAGTAGCAGGATATTGTCAGATGTAGTGCAGGAAAATGAGCTCCTCAGGTTGGAAGGTACTCTAAATACAACTAGAGAAGAGCTGACTATGATGACAAGAGGGGAATAAAGCTTTTAGGTGGACAGGCATGACTCTAAACGAGGAGAAACAGCTGCAAACATTCATTGATAATCTAAATGTAGAGTGTACACAGCATGAATCTAGGAAAATTGGAAGTTGTCAAAAATGAAATGGAACACATAGAGATCGATATCCTTGGTATTAGTGAGCTGAAATGGACTGGTATTGGCCATTTTCAATCTGTCAATCATTCAGTTTGCTATGCCGGAACTGACAAATTGAAGAGGAATGACATCACATTCATCATCAAAAAGAACATTTCAAGATCTGTCTTGAAGTACAATGATGTCTGTGGTAGGATAATATCCCTATGCCTACAAGGAAGACCAAGGCGCTCTGGTAGCATAGTTGTCGGGGACCTGCCTCGACATAGGGGTTCGGTTCATGAGGAGGAGATACCTGACGGCGATAGATATATAGCAAGAATACACAGAAGGAGACAAAGAGAGAGACAATGAGGC